GATGCCACGTTCTTCTTCATATAGTTCAGCTTCTCAGATTATTTGCTCAGCATACACATTGAATAAATATGGTGAAAAGATACAACCTTGATGCACTCCCTTCTTGATTTTAAACCATGCAGTGTCCCCTTGCTCTGTTTGCATGACTGCCTCCTGGTCTATGTACAGGTTCCTTATAAGTACAATTAAGTGTTCTGGAATTCCCATTCTTCTCAATGTAATGCACAATTTATGATTCACACAATTTAATGCTTTTGCATAGTCAATAAAATACAAGTAAACATCTTTCTGGTATTCTCTGCTTTGAGCCAAGATCCATCTGACATCAGCAATGATATCCCACATCCTCTTCTGAATCCGGCTTGCATCTCTGGAAGTTCTCTGTCAATAGACTGCTGCAACCATTTTTGAATTATCTTCAGTAAGATTTTACTTGCGTGTGACAATAATAATATTGTTCGATAATTTTCACATTCTGTGGGATCACCTTTCTTTGGAATGGGCACAGATATGGATCTCTTCCAGTCAGTTGGCCAGGTAGCTGTCTTCCACATGTCTTGGCATAACTGAGTGTGTGCCTCCAATGGGGCATCCATTTGTTGAAACATCTCAATGGGTCTTTCATCAATTCCTGGAGCCTTGTTCTTTGTCAGTTCCTTCAGTGCAGCTTCGATTTCTTCTTCAATATCATTGGTTCTTTTTTTTTTTTTTCCATTGTGATTTGGGTGAAGATTTACAGAGAAGATTCACTTTCCGTATAGCAGTTCACATACACTTTGTCTCATGACGTTGACCACAGTTTACCACAATGCAACAGCTCCCCTCCCATTTCCTCCCCATAGTTACCCCTTAATATCATTGGTTCTTGATCATATGCCACCTTCTGAAATGGATGAAGATCTACCAGTTCTTTTTGGTACAGTGACTCTGTGTATTCCGTCCATCTTCTTTTGATGTTTCCTGCATCATTCAATATTTTGCCCATAGAATCTTTCAGTATCTCAATTCAAGGCTTAAATGTTTTCCTCAATTCTTTCAGCTTCAGAAATGCCGAGTGTATTCTTCCCTTGTGGTTTTCTAACTCCAAATCTTTGCATATTTCATTATAGTGATTGGCTTTGTCTACTCAAGCTGCTCTTTGAAATCTTTGGTTCAGCTCTTTTATCTTGTCATTTCTTCCATTTGCTTTGGTTACTCTCCACTCAAGGGCAAGCTTCAGAATCTCTTCTGTCATCCATTTTTGTTTTCTCTTTTTTTTCTCGCCTTTTTAATGACCTCTTGCTTCCTTCATGGTTGATGTTCTTGATGTTAGCCCACAGTTCTTCTGATTTTCGGTCATTGGTGTTCAATGCATCAAATCTATTCTTTAGATGGTCTCTAAATTCAGGAGGGATCAATTCAAGACCATATTTCGGCTCTTGTGGACTTCCTTTAATTGTCTTCAACTTCAAGTTGAACTTGCATATTCCACAATCAATTCCTGTCCTGGTTTTGGCTGAAGATATTGAGCTTTTCCATCGCCTCTTGCCACAGATGTAGTCAGTCTGATTCTTGTGTATTCCATGTGGTAAAGTCCATGTGTGTAGCCACTGTTTGTATTGTTAAAAAAAGGTATTTGCAGTGAATAAGTTGTTGGTCTTGTAAAATTCTATCATGTGATCTCCAGCATTATTTCTGTCACCAAGGCCAAATTTTCCAACTATTGGTGACTCTTCTTTGTTTCCCACTTTTGCATTCTAGTCACCAGTGATGATTAACACATTTTGATTGCACGTTCCGTCAATTTCAGACTGCAGAAATTGATAAAGATCTTCAATTTCCACATCTTTTGCTTTGGTGGTTGGTGCATAAATTTGAATAATAGTTGTATTAACTAGTCTTTCTTGTAGACGTATGGATGTTATCCTATCATTGACAACATTTTAGTTCAGGACAGATCTTGAAATATCCTTTGTGATGATGAATGTCATGCCATTCCTCTTCAAATTGTCATTCCTGGCATAGTAGATCATATGGTTGTCTGATTCAAAATGTTCAAAACCAGTCCATTTCAGCTCACTAATGCCTTGGATATTAATCTTTATGTGTTCCATTTCATTTTTGACAACTACCAATTTTCCTAGATTCATACTTTGTACATTCTATGTTCCAATTATTAATGGATGTTTGCAACTGTTTCTCCTTGATTTGAGTCATGTCACATCAGCAAATGGAGGTCTTGAAAGGTTTACTTTATCCATATCAGTAAGGTTGATTCTACTCTGATGATGCCACTCTTTCCCAGTCATATTTCGAAAGTTTTCCGACCTAAGTGTCTCATGCTTCTATACTGTATCAGACAGTGTTTCCAGGCTATTTGTGTAGTTGCCTAGTACTGTTACAGACAATGTTTCTCTACTATTCATAAAGTTTTCCTTGGCCAGTTCTTTGAGAAGTGGATGGCCTCTTCTTCCTAGTGTGTCTCAGTCTGCAAGCCGTGCCAAAACCTGTGCACCATGTGCAACCCCTCTGGCATTTGAAACTGTTGGCACAGCCTCAGGCCTCACAGCAACATGCCACCACAGTACGACAAACCGACAGACAAGTTTGTCTCCCTTAGCTGTTTGAAACCTCTCCATCCTCCCCTTACCTGGATCCCTCCTGCTTGCTCTCTCTTGTCTTGGACACCCTGGCTTTCCTTTCCTTTCCCCTCTGCTTTTCCTGCCACTTGGGGGTTGGGGCCTAGGTCCCTCTCCTTGCCTGGATCCCACTGCCACTTGCTTGCTCTCTCCTGGACACCCTGGCTTTCTTTTCTATTCCCCTCTGCTTTTCCTGCCACTTGAGGGTGAGATCTGAGTCCCTCCCCTTACCTGGATCCCTCTGCCCCTTGCTTGCTCTCTCCTGGATGCCCTGGCTTTCCTTTCCTTTCCCCTCTGCTTTTCCTGCCATTTGGGGATTGGGGCCTGGGTCCCTCCCCTTACCTGTATCCCTCTGCCATTTTCTCACTCTCTCCTGGACACCCTGGCTTTCCTTTCCCCTCAGCATAGGATAGGTGAGACCATCTCTGCCAAGGTGAGGAGCATGCAGACATGTAATTCAGTGTTATTTTTTAGTTAGCACATTAATTGTTACCCTGCTAATGGGTGCTATTAGATGTTCACCAAGTAAATTGTTATTGCTGTGCCCCCCCACACCCTTGTTCACTGTCCCTGTGGGGTGCTCAGCCTGCATAGGGTGAGGGACAGGCCCCAGACTTCCCCTTCCTAGTTACCGTTGCCTTCTGGAGATGATCACCATCCTAAAGTTTGAAAACTACTTTGTTTTTCCTTACAGTTCTCCCATATATGATTGTGCCCCCAGTAACAGGTTTCTTTTGGACCTCTCTATAAATGAAAGCATATTTTAGGAATTCCTCTGGAGGTTGCTTTTTTTTGCTCAGCATTATGCTGGCTTAATGATTACAAGTTGTTGGGTGTAGCCTGAGAGCATATGTTTTGATTGCTACGTAGTATTCTGTTTATGAATATTGTTGTTAGCTGCCATCCAGTTAGCCTCCAACTCATGGGGAGCCAATGCACAAAAGAACCAAATGCTGCCTGATCCTGGACCATCCCCATGATTGGTTGCAAATTGGACTATTGTGATCCATAGAGTTTTCATTGGATAATTTTCAGAAATAAATGATCAGGCCTTTCTTCCTAGTCCATCTTAGTCTGGAAGCTCCGCTGAAGTGTGTTCAACGTCATAGCAACATGCAAGCCTCCATTAAGGGATGGGTGGTGGCTGCACATGAGGTGCATTGGCTGGAAATCAAACCTGAGTCTCCCTCATGGAAGGGAAGAATTCTGCCACTGAACTGTCATTGCCTCTTTGTGTGACTATGTTGTTACTTGTTAGGCGCCACTGAGTCAATTTTTGACTGATAGTGACCCCATGTGACAGAGTAGAACTGCCACATAGGGTTTTCTAGACTATAATCTTTATGAGAGCAAGTCGTTGGGTCTTTCTCCTGTGGAGCTGCTGGATGGGTTAGAACTGCCAACCTTTTGGTTTGTAGCTGGGTGCTTAACCATTGTACCATCAGGACTCCTTCTTTGTGTGACTATAACTACAAAATGCTTATCTTTCTTCATATCAATGTAAATGTGGGTTTTTGTTTGTTTGTTTTTGTTTTTGCTACTGAAATCTCCATCTGCTTTTTAAATCCTGCTGGGACTACTGTTTGTTTGAAATAGGACATTTCTGACTGATAAATTGCTTGTTCCTTTACGGGTCCAGCACTGTACTCTCTCTCTGGCCTGAGAGGTGAGACCTTGGGCTAGGGTGGCTTAGGTTGCCTTTGTGTCTACTATTTCCAGAGTTGGCTGGCCAACAGAGGAGGAGCAGTCTGGGATCTAAGGGGCTATTTCTGACTCCACACCAACATGCTCCTCTTTTCCTGGGTGAGCTCTCTTCTCCATTGCCTTGGGCTCTTCCTACTGCCATGCTGCATAAAATATGGCAAGCCATCAACATTTAAACCTGTAGTATGTAGATTTGGGTGGGGTGGGAAGGGGTCTAGTCATGTACTTGCTTCTGAATATGACCAAAGCCAGTCTCCGAAGTGTGCTTGGGCCCCATTGGTAAAGACAGCCTTGCTACCATCCCATTGACTTTGACTTTGACTTTGGCAGAAAACTCCCAGTAGTCACACACAGAATTAGGACAAAGAATTGAAGAACTGAATCAGGGCCATTGGCTCCACTGCTGGTAGATGTTCTTGTCTGGACCTTGACTCAGCCCGAGTTAGTCCTCTGCCCCATACCTTCCTTTCCTCTCCAGACACTGGGCTCCTACCTAACCTCACTCAGTTGTCCTATACCCAGGAGAACCAGTTACCTGCATTCCTCTGCACAAAGCCTGTCAGCTGGGTTCCTGCTCCAGTGCTTTCAGCTCACCAACCACGATGCACAGTGGGAGGGATGAGCCCACCAGCCAGCATAACTGCACATAGGTGATGACTCTTCTCTTTCTGTCTTCAGATCACCAGAAGCTGGAGAGAGAGGCTCGGATTTGCCGCCTGCTGAAGCACTCCAACATCGGTGAGGAGGAATGGAGGGGAAGAGTGCCAGCCTGTTCTTTTCTGAGGATTAGACTTTCAGAGAGAGAAATGCTCCTTTCCATCTCTCTTCATTGAGATAGCCCTGCATGTACTCCTCCCTGACAACTGTAGGGACAACATTGCTGAGATGGACGTCTGTCATCTGTAAATCAGGCTCAAGGTTCCTGTGCAGTTCTGGCCAGAGGTCCTAGGCCCCACCTCCACCAGGGGTATAGATGGTATAGGCACCAGGTTAGTTCCTAACCCTGTGCCTTGTGGGGTGAGGATGGTAACGGGCTGCTCAGAGGGGCTTGTGAAATGAGGTGACCCCATGGAGCAATCAATGTCCTCACCATACAGGAGCTGTGATGTTCTGTTGAAAACACACAGGACTTGATAATACCAATAGCCTCAGAGCAGCCAAATAATAGCCTTGTTAAGAGACTTGTCAAAAGACCATACCACAGTGCCATCCACAGATCCACATCTGCTAACCAGTTTCTGGAAGCCTCTGATATCCACTTTTGCCTAGCCCAGACTCAGGGCTGTGGACACGTGTGGCCATCGTCATGTCTGAGAGGAGTGTCTGCTGCCCCAGGGACATCTGGAGTGGATGTGTGGGCAGTAGGCCTAACTGATCATGGGCAGGGCCAGGGTAGCACCTGTCTGATGAGGCTGTAGAGAAGGTATCCAAGTGACTCAAAACTTCAGGCTCTGCCAAGAGGAGAGGGAGAAGAGGGCACCTGGTACATAGGCGGCCTAGTGTGTCTCTGCAGTCTACTGCCCATGTCCCACAGCCCATGTGCTATGTGGAAGTGTACACTGTATTGGCCTAGGGACCCTAGGTACTGTCTTTGCCTCCCAAGATCATATGAGGTGTTCTGCCTATCATGCTTCTTTCTGAAACTAGGTCTAATCCAAAACCAGCCCCCAAAAAAAGCAAACCCACTGCAGTCACATCAATTCCAAGTCATAGCAATCCTTTGGAACACAGTAGAACTACTCCATAAGGTTTCCAAGGCTATAAGTCTTTATAGAAACAGATTGCCTCATCTTTCTCCTGCAAACCAGCTGGTGGATTTGAACCAACTGAATGCTTTAACCACTATGCTACCAGAGCTAAATGGTCTTATCTCAGGGTGGGGTAACACAGGTCTTGATATGGTGACCCCAGCCTGTGCTGATCCATGAAGGCACTGGGCTTTACTTGGGGAGCAGTCTGTTGCCTCCTCACTCCTGTGGCTCTAGGGAGATCAAGATCCATACTGCAGTTCCCTCATGGAGCAGGCCTGTGTCTGTCCCCATCTGCCTGTCCTTCTCCACCTCTGGTCCCTTTCCGGACTTCTGAGGAACCTTAGTCATGAGAGTACAAGGAGTCAACCCTCATCCAGGCCAGGCAGCACTCATTATTATTCTAAGAACAGCATTTGGAACATACTACCTACCTCTCCCTTATCTTGTCCCTGCAGCTCTGTTCACCTTCTTATCTCCGCAATCCCTCTTCTTTCTTTTGCATTCCTTGAGCACCAGCTGAGGGCTTGTTTATTCTAAGTGTATATTCAGAATTTGGATAGGTCTTCAATAAGCTTTTTCCCTACCCTGCCTGGAGGCCTGGTGTGGTTCTAGGGGACCAAGTGGGTCCCTGAGAAATGGCTGTGGAGTTCTTGGTTGCAGTGGTGTCATTCCAGTCTAGACCAACACATTCTAAAACTCAAAGGGGGACAGATCTGAGCTTGTAGATGCAGACCCAGAGTGAGAACAGCCTGGAGTTGTTGGGGAGAACTTCAAAGAGATGAGTAGCCCCTCCCTCTGTGGGCAGCCCAGGTAGCCTGACCTCTCAATAAGAGCCCAAGGGAGATCACAGTCCCCTTAAGAGAAAGTGGCCATGTAGAGCCATGCCTGCTAGGTGGGGATGAGGTAGTGTGCCACCAGGGAGTGAGTACTTTTCCTTCCCCATCAGCTTCCTTATCTGTAAAATGGAGGTGTCCTTCCTTCCTCACAGAGACCTAGTAAAAGGGACAGATGATTCCCACAGAAAGCAAGTAGAAACTGTGAAGCCCCCCTTTCTGTGGTGCCATGCTTGGGATCTCAAGTGCAGAAGCCTGGGTTCAGCCTGTCTTAAGCTTACAAGCCTCATGATCATGCCTTCTTATTTGTGAAATGAGGACATTCTGGCCACCCATATCATAGGGTGGTTTCTGTCTATTGCTCTGTCACAAATTACCTCAGAATTTAACAGCTTGCAACAATAAACATGCATGTCCTTATAGTTTTTGTGAGTCAAGAAGTGAAGAATAGTTTAACTGGGTGGTCAAGTCCAGCTATCTGATTTTCACAATGAAACTGCAGTGCTTGCTCACGAGTTCTTAAGAATGTCCAGGTGGCAACAGCAGAGCAGGGCCCTTCTGCCAGGGCCAGGCTACTGTGAGCTGTCCTGTGCAGGTCTCTTCTGCAAAAGGCCTGATGGGAACTTTAGGGTCTGTTTCCAGGGGCTCACCCACATGGTAACTGACTCCCTGGAATGACAGGAGAGGACAAGGAGAGTGAGACTCCTCCTGTCACGTGCACCTTTGCCTTATTCTGTCTACCTGAAGCCAGTTACTAAGCCCAGCCCACACCGAAGGGAAAACAGTTAAGCTTCACTTTTTAAACGGAAGTGTATCAAGGGATTTGCAGTATTATTTTAAAAACACCACAAGAAACCAGTGAGGTTGGGCCTATAGATATTTGCTGCACTGCAGCATCACATAAGAGTGTGTTGGCCTATTGGGAGGGGAGGACCCTGGGACCTGAGCCCCTAGTACAGCATGGGCCCCAATAAGAGTATCCTCCTCTGCACTGTCACTTTCTCTTCAGAGATAGAGAATCCAGAGTCTTGAGGCTTCCCAGATGAAGAGAAGCAGTGCCATAGACTTGGTCCCAGCAATACCCTTAAGCAGAGTGGGGGAGATCTCCGCATCTGGCCTGGGCCTGCTATGTGGCCATGATGCTTAGGGAAGAAGCCTTCTCCAGGCTGAGAGTCACTGTTGATCTTTGCACCACATAGTCCTCTGTCTGCAGGAAGGACTCCTAGTATCCCCTGGAGTCTTCCCGATGCACTATAGGCTTTCTCCTTGGCCCAAGGTCCTCAGCAATGTGGGACTACAGGGGTGGGGGTAGGGGCTGCCTTTGGAGCCAGACTGCCCAGAGGTTCTTTAACTCCATGCTATGAATGAAAGGAAATGGCCTCTGCTGGAGGTGGCACTTTTCACTCTCCCCAGACCAGAGCCTATCCAGTGATCTTGTTGGATCCCCAGGGCCCCTGGGCTAGGCCCAGCTTCTGGAGTTGAAGGTGGGTCTGACTCCCTTAGGTAAGTAATGATAGGGATGGTAATGAGTCAGCATCTGTTCAGCTCTGTCACTCAGCATTGGCAGCAGAATCTCTGATCTGAGCTCACTGTGCTCTGAGATTGATGGTAAAAGGTGAGATCCCCATGCTGTGCCCTCCTCTGTGGGCCCACAGCCTAGGCCTGCCCTCTTGCAGAACACCCCACCCCCATCCCTACCACACATACACACACACACACACACACACAGAGCCATGTCATACCTGTGCTTTACCTGATTGTCATTTTGTAACCCTAAAGTTGATACTGTCCGTTGTCTTAGTCCTGACATTTCTTGCCTTATAGCTCTACCTCCTATAATCTCTGCCTTTATTGTCATATGGCTATTTTCCCTCTGTGTCTGTCCCTTCTTCTCTTTTTATAAGAATATCATTCATATAGGATCAAACCCCACCCTACTCCAGTATGACCTCAAGTTAACTTAATTGATAACATCTTCAAAGACCTTATTTTCAAATAAGGTCACATTCACAGGTACAAGGGTTAAGACCTCAATGTGTCTTTTTTGGGAGGCACATTTCAATCCAGAATCCACTCTAAATCCAAAACTTCATCTACTAAATCATCTAAATTAGGTATAGGCGAGACTCTGAGTATGATACATCCTGGGGCAAAATTCTTTTTCATCTGTGGACCTGTGAAACCTAGGATACAAGTTATCTGCTGGCTTTACTGTATAGCAGCTCTTCTTCTAAGTGCTCCTAACATGCATCCCTGTCCTCTGGAGACCTCAGAACCTCCCAGGGTCCAGAGACAGCAGGCTGCTTAGAAGAGCAGACAAGGTGGTATGTGGGAGGGAGTAAGGCTCCATGAAGCATCTGTGGGACAGAAGGACCCCCGATTGAGCACCCCCTGGCCTGGGACTTACAGAGGAGTTACTGACAGTAGAAGACAGCAGCTCCCACCACAGGGTTTTTCATGCCTCACTCAGCAGGAGGGTGTAGGCCCCAGCAGGTTAAATCTTAAAGCAAAGCCAGGAGGTTGCAAGGACACCACATCTTGAACAACCAGAGTTGGAGGTTGACACAGAAAGTGAGGTAGGCAGCAGACTTGGAAGGGATCTACATTCACATCATGCAGGCCTTGCCAGACCTAGCTCTTTCAGGCACCACTATGGGACTTTTAGTTAGTTATTTCTGTGCCACATCTGCATGCCACATGCAGTATTACCTTGTATTTTTATTTAAATAGGTTTTTATGACAATTCCTTTTTTTTTTTTAACCTAGCCCCATCTTCAGCAATAATATTTGTGAAATCTTGGGTCTGATGTGCTAGTGTTCTTCTAAACCATTAAAATAAGTGCGTAACTTTTTTAAATGGTAAAAGTATTTAAAAGGTGTTCTACACCTGAACTCACTGCACAGATGCCCCTGCATTGGAGCTAGGCTGGAGATGAGGAGACATTTGAGCAGTCTTGGAGAGGACAGTCCTATAATAGAGGCAGGGGTAGACAGCAGGAGGCACCCTCTAGAGAGAAAAGCCAGAAGTCCAGACCCCTGCGGCCTCACCCCCATCAAGGGCCATAGGCACACCTGAGCCTGGAAGAGGTCATATTCTCCTTGAGGGAAGGAGAAAAAATCTACAGAGATAGGATCCTCTTCCCCTCCTTCCCTCCCGTCTTCTTTCCTCCATCCAATCTCTCTTTTCCCTCTTCTTGCTCTTTTCCTTTTTCTCTCTTTCCTTCTCAACTCCTACTTTACCTTCAGGAAGGTGTCTAGAGTGGGGCACATAGGAGTTGAGAACTGCTCAAACAGTGCTGGATCTGTGGAAGCCCCACTGGGTTTATTTTGTGCCTCATGACTAGAGAGGAGTCAGGAAGAAGTTTTTGTTTAATTCAGGGGGGTTGTGCCACTGAGGGTGCCAGTTTGGGCCAAATAAAGGCTGGGGCAAATTGGTGAGTATAGAAGGGCCAACTGGGGACACTCTCTACTCTTGGTACAGACCTCAGCTGGGAAAGGCTGCCTTATGCTGCAGAGAAGTTTATGTAGGGAGGATTAACAACAAGATGAGCACCTGCTTGCAGGTGGGGGCTCTGCAGAGATGGGGGGACCAGACTAGAACTGGGCAGAGGACATAGGGCCTTGAGAGACCTCACTTTCTGAGGGTGGGCTGTGTTGGAGGGAGAGAGCTGGATGCCTGCACTTGAGCAGAGCCAGAAATGGTGCAGGCCAGGAAAGGAAGCCTGGAGGGGAGGGAAGGACAGAGGATAAGGGGTGCAGAGGCACAATGCCCCTTCTCCCTGCCATGAGTCTGGAACCTTTCTCCTGTAGGGTATTTATGAGACCTCTCATAAGAGTCTAAAGTCTTCGTTAGGAAGGCACCATGAACAGAGCACTGGAGATAACAACACAGTGATGGCTCACACTGTCACTCATGGGTGCTGGTATGTGCTGGGCTGTGCACACTTGCCCTGCACACTCTGAACAATGTCCTGCACAGATGCTCTCTTATCAGCATCATACAGAGGCCAGCTGTACCCATCCCAAGGACAGCCACCCAGCTGGTACATGAGGCAGAGTGACAGAAAGTCCTCATCCAGCTGTCCCTGGGGTGGGGGTGGGACTGAGATGTCAAGGGTGAACTCATCAGGGGATCTGTGCTGCCAGGGGAGTTCTGCCATTCAAACACTTGATGGAAAGCTCCAAGTTTGCTCATCCTGGCAGAAGCTTCTGGGCCCCTCTGCATCTTTCCCAGTGAGACTCCCACCCTCAGGCCAGAGACAGGCATCCTCCACCCCAAAACAATGTTAGGTATACCTCCTTGCCACACCAAGTCCAGGAGCCCAGGCATCTAGCTGCAAGGTGACAAATAGAGGGAAGAGAGGAAGATCGTTGCTATTAGGTGTGGAAGATGCTAGCAGAACAGTCCTTGGGAGGACCAGTGCTAGGAGGAAGGAGGACACAGCAGCCAGTTAGAAACTAGGACACATGAGAGAGCAAGAGGAAAGAGGTCAGGTTGGAAGTCAGTGCCTGTTTGAACTGTTTAAACTGCACCAGCAGTGGTCCTGAGTGGTGGGAAGGAGTAGGGTCCCAGGTCTGTCTGCCAGGACCACAAAGAGAACCCAAGTACAGGGCTTCCAGGCCATTGGAGGGCAGCTTCTTCAGGTATGGGCCCACTGTCTCCCCAGTTTCCCAGCCATGCTTGCCTGTGACCAGCTGTGTGACCTTCACCCTCTGTGCACTGGCCTCTGCATCTGCAACCTACTCAACAGGGTCCTTGTGAAGGTTAACTGAACTAACACATACACAGCACTTATAAGTGTCTGGCATATACTGAATGCTCAATATGTGTTGCCTGGTGTTGCTGCTGCTGTTCTAGCAAAGGACAGTTTGGGCAGAGGGGAACAGGGTCCATAATGAGTCAGTCTTTGGAAATGATTGCTCTGTAGTACAAAGGGCACCTCCAGCTTCAAGGGGAGGGAGGCATGGAGGTTGCTTTCTTTGAGCAGAAAGTCACTTAGATGTTCATTCATTCAGTCAGTCATTCAGCATATCTCAAAGCCCCACTCTGCACTGGGTGTTCTCAAGGCTCCAGGAATATGGAGAAAACAGACAAAAATCCACACATCTCTATAAACAATAACTGAGGAGCACATAAATAGCTATGGCTCCTCCCTGCTAGTTTCTCCCTATCAGTGTTAGTTCTGGGACTCTGACCTTAGGGTCAAGTCTCTGTAAGCCATAGCACATGGCTTAGCTTGCCTCTGGACTACATGGTGTAGCAGCTCTGGGGGCTCAAGGGGCCTGCTGTCACACCCCTACTCAGGCCAGTCCCTGAGCCTCACCACCACAACATGCCAGGCAGCAGGGAGAGGCTGGGTGCCGCCAAGAACAATCCTGGGCTGGGTAGGTAGACAACAGAGCCATGCAAACCCTGCTTTCAGTGGCTGCTTTCCCAGGCCTTGATTGGATAGGACTTGATAGTCCTTGATAGGACTGAGAAGGGCCTGGGTCTTCATTGGTGAAAGGGTAAGCAGAGGAAAACAGGAAACCAGACAGGCTGCTGAGCAGGCAGCGGAGCAGAGCCAGAAGTGGTGCAGGCCAGGAAAGGGAGCCTAGAGGGGAGGGAAGGACAGGATGAGGGAAGCAGAGCCACAATGCCCCTTCTCCCTGCCATGACTGGGGTCTTTCTCCTGTAGGAACCCAAGCTACACCTGGCCAGCCCACAGGCTTTGGGGGAAGTACCTAGACCCAGAAGACCTGTGCCCCCCTGGGTCCTCCCCATTCGCTGTCCTGTGTAGCTCATCCAGAGACCTAGCATCTTGGGAGGCTCTCTCCTCTTGAGAGCTGACTGGTGACCAGGGGCAAGTACTGTGTTCCAAAGAGGAGGCAGACCTGGCTGCTGAGGTATTCATCCTGCTTTGTCAGCTCCTCAGGGTCTTTTCCTGTCTCCACAGTGCGTCTCCATGACAGCATCTCTGAGGAAGGCTTCCACTACCTTGTCTTCGACTTGTAAGTACCACAGCTGACCACCCTCACCCATTCGAGCCCAAGTGAACATTATCCTGACTTGGGGGTCTGGTACTCCCAAACTTACATCTGCTGCTGTCCTGCCTAGCACAGCTGCCCTCACCTCTCTGCCTGCAGGAGGGAGAAGGGTGTTTGGAGGCTGGGGCAGCATTGAAGGCAGCACTAGGAAGAGGAGTAAGTGCTCACTGAGCTCTGTGGGACAGCTTGTCTGTCTGAGACTAGGTGCCCTGGACCCCCAAGGAAGAGTGGGACCTGTTTACCTTTCTTCCTTTAGTCCCTCATCTGGCAGGACTTGGAGCCTTAGAGCTATGTGCCAGCATGTTGTACATGTGTAAGTGTTAGGGTGGAGGCAAAAAGACATCCTGGTGGTGGGGGTGCTCAGCTGCCTCTCACCTCCCTGATTTAGCAGCAGTGACCTCATCTCCTCCCTCTTCATACTGCTTAGTGGCACTATGTTTAGCTGCTGGTGAGTCAGTGCAGTCCTGGGACCCTGAGTATGCAGGGACCAGAGACCTTGGCCTGCCCTTATGGCCTGCCTAAGCCTGTTACTGCCTGCTCTGCAGTCACCCTTGCCCACCCTCAGGCTATGCCTGGATGGCAAGATGCTCCAGCTGTAGGGGCATGATGGCACACTTTGGGTCTCTGGTCAAGAGAGGCTTGACCATCCCTGGTACCCCAGTGTGTCCACAGGTCCCTGGTATTGCTGCCAATGCCTGGGCTTGGCCAAGCTTTGGCCTCTTCTGTGTGGCCAAAATTGTGCCCTGGGATATCCAGAGTGCCCTCATGCCCTGAGGAGGTACAGACCCACTGTCACCCTGTGTGCCCTCAGTCTAACTTTTCCTCCACCAGGCATCTTCTCCAGGAAACATAGAAGCTGCTAGACATAGGGGAGCTGACAATGTCCCTGCCCTGGTGGCAGACAAATAGCTGCATGGGGAAGAGAGAATGGACACCCATGTGTGTATGCATGTGTGTTTATATGTATGTGTATTTATGTGATTATGCATGAATGAGCATACATATATGTAGTTTAATGTGTACAGACATGTACTTGAGTATATGGACATGTATCTTTCCCCATTTGTGCATGTATGTGTATGAACCTATGTGTGCACATGTATGTGCTTATGTTTGTGTAGAATATTTTAGTCTCTGAGCACCAGCAAGCATAGGACAGGCAGGTGTGTGAATAAGAGGCTCTGAAGGTGGATAGGGAAGAGGAAACCAGCTGAGGAGGTGGAAAGGGCAGGAGGAGGAGCAGCCTAGGCTCCTATACATTGTCCCTCAAATCCCAATCTCCATGGCCCACAGGATTTGGTTGTTGTGGACTCTGCTGAAATCTGTGTGTGGGACACACAGATGTGATGAGCAACTAGAAGTGACAGGAGAGAGAGAGAAGAGGCAGCAGGTGGAGCTGGAGTTCAGCAACATAGTCTGCATTTTGAGGAACACAGAACAACAAAGCCTCTATTGCCTGTTGCTGAAGGCCTAGACACAGGCTCAGAGCAGAGCCTTTACCCCCATCCAGGACAGAGAAGGTGGAATAAAAAGGAGGCTCCTAGCCTCTAATTATCTGCCATGTGTTGGACATTGAATCCTCGCAACAACCCCGCACAATTGTCACTGCTGCTCCTGCTTGAGAGATGATGAGCTCAATAGATTGCCCAGGTCCCACAGTTGAAGGAAGGTAGTTTCCGACCCAGCCCAAGGCTCCTGATCCCTAAGCTGGTTCAGGCTAGTGCCTCAGAGGGGTACTGCAGGCAGGCTTCTGTTTCCCTTGGGCATTTGCCTTCTCTGAGCCTCTGTCTCCTTCGGGGGTAAAGGGGATCATAATAGCTCTTCACTCCAAGGATGTTGGGAGGACTCAACAGAACACCTAGCTAAGGCATTTAGCCCAGTGCCTGGGGCATGCTAGCATTCAATACTGATAGCGAGCCTGCCCAAGCCAAGGCCCCCTATTCAACAGTCCCCACTCTCCTGTTGCCTCTGCCAAGGGCCAGCTAGCACTAGTCCTAACAAAAATGAGGAAGACTCGAGCCCCACCTTCAAGGAACTAATGCATGGAGACCAACATGGAGGCAGAAGTGTGGTTAGGCAGCCATGGAGCAGGCGGGGAGTTAGGGAGAAAGTGTAGATGTAAAAGGAGGTGCCCATGTGTGTTCCCTCAGGGATAAGGAGGGAACATTAGAAGCCAGGGGATTCTGGACCACTTCAGAGTTGGAAAACTCTAAATGGTGTCTCCTGGCCAACTTAGAGCTTGCTGAGTTGGATGAGGGGCTTGGATGGGTACTGATGATGGCTTCGTCTACACCTCTGTGAATCATGGCAGCTGTGTGCCAATTCCTTGCACCCCTGGTTTTGTCACTTTTCCATCCTGTTCCTCTCCAATTTTCCAGCCTGGGGGACCCTGGGCAGCCTGGGCTCTTTTGGGTTCCCAGAGGTCCTCCAGGCAGTAGCTCCTGCTCCTAGAGCTCCATCCAGACTATAAGGCCACTCACAGTGTGCTGCACATGGTGGTGGTGTGGGTGGTGATGGTGATACTGATGGAGGTAACAGGGATGACAGTCTTCGAAAATGTGACTCGAGTATGCTTTTCCTGCAGGGTCACAGGTGGGGAGCTCTTTGAGGACATTGTGGCAAGGGAATACTACAGTGAGGCTGATGCCAGGTGAGTGCAGAGCCCTCCCACTGTCCTACTTTTCCTTTATCCACCCCCTTCTGCCCTTCCTCTACCTCTAGACCTTTCCTGTCTCTTCTTGTAAGCCCACATCTATTCCTATGCAACATTCCCCTCTGTAGCCTGGCAGAGGGTCAGCCATGATGGGCAGGAAGAGAGAGAGGGTGTTCTCAGGGGGAAGTGTAGCTTGAGTGTGCACAGGTCCAAGACTACTTGGTTTTACTGGGGTTAGCTGTGTGGCTCTGAGGGAACTGAACCCAAGAGCTGGTGATCTCCTTGGGGGCTGGCCATAGAAGGAGAAGAGCAGAGTTTATTTCTAAGGTGTCCTCCCACTCTTCTCTTCGAAATCTCAGTCCATGCCCCGTAACAGGCACCCTTTAGTTAACCTTGCTCATAGCAATGAGCAGTTTCTAAGGCAAGTCCAGGAATCTTCTTCCAGAGACCCTACCAGGGCCACCTTGCTCCACCCAGTTTTAACATAGGAGAGGCATTGGAGTCCTGTGCTGGCAGATGGTGGGTTGGCAAGGTGACCAATTGGGAGTGGCAAGCATCAGTTCCTTGTCCCTGGAAGGTGGGCCCACTTTTAGCCTGCTGCAGCCCAGTTTCCTGAACCAGGTGTCACTCAGATCCATGACCAAGGATGTCCCTCATCATAGTGCTCCTCAGCTCACCACTCCCTGACTGCCAGCTGACATACTGTGAAAGAAGGGCTGGCTTAGTCTCAGGGATGAACTTGGCACAGATGTTCAGGCAGGAAAAAGACAAGAATGCTAGCCAAGGTCTTCTCTAGTGGCAGAATTATGGATGGCTGGCTTTAAAATTTTTTTTCTTTTTTATTTTTAAAAATTTCTTTAATGAATATATATATATATATACACACATACATATAATATATATATACACATATATATGTATATATACATATATATTTATGTATATATATGTATATTTATGTATATATATGTGTGTGTGTGTGTGTGTGTATATATATATATAATTTTTTCTCATCAGGAAAAATAAATTATCATCAAAAAAATAGCTTCATGCTAGTTGCTTCCATTTGGCCTTGCTGTCTGTGGTATGGCCCTGCCCTGTGTGGGGAGCTTGCTGGGCCTGGCTGACTACCTCCCAGAGCTGGCCCCAGAAGCAAGGAAATAGGGTGTGGGCCTTCTGGAGAAGGGTATACTCAGGGATCACCGGAGATCCTCCCTGACATCCCTAGGAGCAGGTGGAGCCCTGAGAGGGCAAAGGACTCTGAGGGTCCTGGTGAGGCATGAAACAGCTCCTCCAAATTCCCCCTATTCTCAGAGTGCATGCCACCTACCATGGCCCAGGCAGACCTGGGCAGACTTGGGCTAAACACTGGCTGGAGCAATAAGATACCCTTGAATCCAGCCTGTAAATCCCTAGAGAACTGCCACTGGTCCTCAGTTTCCCTATCTAGAACAGGGGACTACTAGTGTATTTTAGCCTGTGGCTGAGCCACGTCCTCAAGCCCCCCAGAATGTGGAGGGGCCCTGGGCCCCCTACCCAGATCTCACTCCCCTGGAACCCCTGAGCCCCTCCCCGCATGCCTTCCAACCTGAGTGCCCACACCCTACTGGCTCACACCCAGTCCCACCCATCCCATCCTTAAAAACATCTGTGGTCCTGAAGCTCTAATCCCATTGTTTCTCTCTCTACCTTCCCCACACTCACAGTCCCTTCTACCCTCCCTCAGCTTTTTTGATGCCCCACTCCCTTGTTATCATCCCTGGGGCATTGATGGCCCCTCCTTCCTGCTTCCACCCCACCACCACAGCCTTGTTCTGCTTTCCACTCCTGTCTCCATCAGATAATAAAGTGTAATTTCTGTTGTTGCTGTTACGTGCCCTCCAGTGGGACTCGACTCATAGTGACCTCTCCTTGGGTTTCCGAGGCAGTATCTGAGGAAGGTGGGTTTGAACCACCAGCCTTCTGGTTAGCACTCAAGTGCCTTAGGTACTATGCTACAACAGCTCCCGTATAATTTTTACTCCCCTCTAAACCTTTGCACACAGGAACTTACCAGGTTAGGGGTATGCTCCACCAGTTCTAGGCCTTGGGTGGGGGGCTACTTGCTGAACAACCTGCACCCTGTCCCCCTGCACACTTCCCACTGAAGCAAGGCCCGGAGATGGAGCAAAAGATTGCAGGTGCCATCTGCACAGGAGGGCCAGTAGGAGGTCAAGACTTGCAGGAGCTCTAGCCCACCCATTGATTGTGCCAAACCATTATTCTCCCTCTGAGGAAGAGAGCCTCATCTGTTCATCTGCAGGCATGGGCTTGGCTTCTCCCTATCTTCTTTGTCCCTTATCTTTCTTATTCCATGTCTCTGATGAATACATAGCCTACTTAGGGGTGAGTGCAAGGTGCTGGCCTCCAGGGGCCTTGCTTGGTGAGCAGGAGTCTGCCTTGGTGTAACTGAGACACCCAGCCAGCTTCCTCTGCTGCTCTCTCCCCTGACAATGCAGCTCTGATCAGGTGCCTTAGAGCTGCCCAGAAGCTAGTGGCCTCAGGGAGAGGATAAGTTGTTGGAACTTTCTGTGGGCTTGTGGAGAGATGCTTTGACTGTCAAGATCCCAGGAATTTTCTCTAGAGTAAACTGTATAGTGCTGGGAGGGGAAGAAAAGATGAAGAGGGCCTGTAGCTTCTACCGTGTCCCTACCTGGCTGAGGGAAAGAGCCCCCTTGGAACTGACCCAGAGGAGATGGGGCTCTGGACTTGGCATGGCTTTCTTGTCCCACCCATAAACCCCTATTCTCTCTCAGAAACACTGCTGCCTCTTTTGGGGGATTGGTGCCCAAAGAGGATGTGTGGTAGCCAAACTGTGAAAAGCACACAGGTTGGCCTCTGCTCTGTGAGTGTGTTGAGCATGGGAAAGATTATGTGGCAGTGAGTGGGAAAAGGCTGGTACATTGATATGGCCAATGTGAGTGCCTCCGTTCTATATTTAGGGCCAGGAGCCCTTTCTCTTTCTCTCAGGTAGCTGTATACCTTGGTCCAGGAGGACTACTGCCTTCTATCTTTGTGCCCATACCCTGCCCCAGGTGATTGCACCTGACAGGCCATATCTGAGATGTGAGCCTGAGGGCATCAGTTACTCCGCTGGTATCACCATACTTAAAGGGGTAGAATTGGAGACAGGAACATGGTGAAGGAAGGACTGACTGACTCCAAGGGAACAGATCTCCTAGAAGGATAGGTGAGACATAGCTAACAATTACATACCTCTCATGGAATATAATCAGGTTATTTCCCCTACACACATTTTTTTTTTTTGGTGATTTGGGTGAAAGTTTACAGAGCAAATTCATTTTCCATACAGCAGTTCACATACACTTTGTCTCGTGACATTGACTACACTTTACCCCAGTGCAACAGCTCCCCTCCCACTTCTTGCCGATATTACCTCTTCCCTGTGTCCATCCCTCCATACACTCCTGCCCCCTCAGCTATCTCCCTGTGCAAAAAAGCCCTTCTTTCACCAATGATTGTTCTCTCCAAGGAGTGTATCTACCTCAGGTAAATGTTCAACTCATATGCCTGTCTTTTGTTTGGCTGGAAGCCACAGGTGTGGGTTCAATTCAAGACCTGAAGGACAGCTAGAGGCAATAATCTCAGGCTCTATCAGACTAGCAAACCTGGTCACCCCCTGCTTTTTTTTTTCCCAAATGCTTTTGAGTTTTGTTCCACATTGTTCTCCCTCTCTATCCAGGATCTGCTACATAGATCCCCCTCTGAGTGGTTGACAGTGATAGCTGGGCATCGTCTAGTTCTTCTGGTCTCATAGTCATAATTTGCTGCGGATTGCATGGTGTACCAGTCACTAGCATTAATTATTCATGAATCTTTGGTTTTCATCATTCTTCTTTGCTCTGGTTGAGGAGACACCCATCGTTGTGTCTAGATGGCTGCTTGCAAGCTTTTAAGATCCCAGTCACTACTCGCCAAAGTAGGAGGTGTAACAATGTTTTGTGTAGTATGTTATGCCAATTGAGCTTGATTTCCCCTGTGACTATGGTCACGAGCCCACAGGTTCAGCTCTTCGGTCCCTCTGGATAGGTGGCTGTGACCAAGAAGTGAATACAACCTTGGACCTTATTAGCTTTACCATACTCTTGAGATTCTTTCTTTTTTTTTAGATGCATTATATTGAAATATAATTTATGTGCAGTGTAATACACAAAACTAAAGTGACATGGGTCAATGCATTTTTTTTCAGTGTTCCCTCCCTTTCCCTCCCACCCCTGGCAACCAACAAAGAAAGTTTTCCTCCATATATAAACCTTTCCTTGACCCTCCACAACAATGAATTAATACTATATTTGTCCTTCTGTGATTGACTTATTTCACTCAGCATAATGTC